TGAAACATTTCACTAGTGATTGAATTCTACTTTTGCCATCTGAATTGACTTGAATGTCTCAAAACGTAAATGTTATAAAGTGCGTATCTTGATTTCTCATGTGAATAGAAATGTACAGGAAAATTAAATTAACACATTTTTAAAAAAAGATTTTAAAAAGTGAGGGGCTGGGGATTTAGCTCAGCGGCATAAGCACCTGCCTTGCAAGCAGGCAGTCGTGAGTTCAATCCCTGGTACCGATAAAAACGAAAAAGACCTAAAAAAAAAAAAAAAAAAAGATTTTAAAAAGTGAAAAAGGGCAGGTGGTGTACCTCAGTGTGCATTTTTGTTTTTATCTTTTGAGATTCAGGACTGTTTTTGTTTGGGGTTTTTTTTTTTTTTTTGTCCTTATTTTTGTTTTTTGAGATCGGACTCACTGCATAGCTCTCACTGGCCTCAAACTCGGGAGGATCCTTCTGTCTCAGCCTCTAAAGCTCCTTTTTATTTATTAAAATTTTTTTAAAAAATTATTTTATTTCAAAGAGAAAAATAACTAGACAAAATTTCAAATCACATCAGTGCGGGGGCAACACTACATATACCAAATCATTCACCCAGAGCACAAGACATCTGCGCTCAGTTGTTCAAACAATACCAGCACAAATCTTTCTATGCAGTGAACTCAGGGAAATTAGTAGTACGATTATCTTAACTATCTTATATACATAAACACATACATACACATATATGTTGTTGCTTTCAGCTTCTCACACTAGTGAGACAATACAATGTTTCCACATGTGTCTGATTTATTTCTCTTACAAGTATGGTCTCAAGTTGCATCTATTTACCTCTAAAAGTGTCCAGTTTATCCTCCTTTATGGCTGGGTAGTACTCCATTGTATAAAAATACCACATCTTTTTTATCCATTCCGCAGTGGATGGGCATTTTGGTGATTCCCAGGATTTAGCTATCAAAAATTGTGTTGCTGTAAACATGGGTGCACAGTCATGAAGCCCTTTTTTAATCCACAGCACTAGATACCAAAAAAAAAAGGAAGTTGTAATTTAGAGGCTAAGCTACCATGTGTCACAACCAAGCCACAGTGCGAGAGGAGCCTCCTAGAGTTGTACAGAACCACAGCAGCGACCCTGGGTGGGAGACCCCCCAGGCCCCGCCTAGACACTTGGATTGCTCTGTGGTATTAGAAAGATGCCAGAGTTCACACAAAAACCCAGATTTCTAGTTTCTGTTAAAAAATTATTAAACCCACAAATCCACATTCAACAGCCTTACGAGATGACTGGCTGCCACCTTCAGCCCAGTGCTTACATTTTTAATTTTATTTATCTTTGTCTAAATAATGAACAAGTACTACATCATTAAAATCATTTTATTGAGACATAGCTCCTTTTTATTATTTTTTTTTTAATTTTTTTATCTTTTTGAGACAGGGTCTCTGTGCAGTTCAGGCTGGCCTTGAACTCACTTTGTAGCCCAGGCTGGTCTCAAACTCGCAACGATCCTCCTGCCTCAGCCTCCTGGGTGCTGGGATTACAGGCAGGAGCCACCACACCCGGCCATTATGGTCTTTTTTGAGGTAGGGTTTCATTATATAGTTCAGGCTGGCCTTGAACTCAACAATCCTCGTGCCTCAGCTTCCTTAGTGCTGGGATTACACAGGGTGCCCAGTTTACATGTGAGTCTCTTAAGAATCTCCCAAATTACAGATCTAGTGATGCGAAGATGATTATTATCTTACCAAGCTATCAAACCTTAGTATTAAAAAAAAATTTTTAAAAACAGGAAAACCTGTAGAGAATAAAGAACTTGCTTCAGTCAATATACAGAATGTGTTAGCATCTTCTTTCTTCTGGCCGAGGGTGTCCCCAAAGCCTACCAAGTAAAGAAAAAATGAAACGTTCACAGCATTAAAATGATAACTCAGCCAGCACAGCTGTGGTGCACACCTGTGATCCCAGGGCCCCGGAGGCTCAGACAGGAGAGTCACAAGTTTGAGCCTGACCTGGACAACTTAGCGACACAGTGAAACTCTGTCTCACACTAACATAGAAAAAAATCTGGGCAGTCTCTCAGTGTGAACACCTTGGATGCGGTTTCCCGTACCAAAAAATCAAAAACTGAACCGCAGCACTTTGGGAGGCTGAGGCAGGAGTTCAAGTCTCACCTGGGCAACTTGGTAAGACCCTGGCTTGAAATTTAAAAGGAGGAGGCAGGCTGAGGGTGTAGTGACCTGAGTTTGATCCTCAGTACTAGATAAACAAATCCTAAAAGTAGGTACTCATGTAAATCAGTAAGACAAAGTCAGTACACCTGAAAGTTTCTCTCCTATTGGAAACACACCAAGAGTCACGAGAAAAAGATGACAAAACAAAACAAAAATAGCAGCCCCCGTTTCCCCCCGTAAGCAGGCTGGCACTGGCTGGCTTCTGCTGCTTCTCATGCCATTCCTGCCCTGGTGGAAGTCTCTCTGGCCTTCTTGTCCTCCTTCAGTTTGTCTAATTGTCATGTTTCCTTCCTACCTCAGGGCCTTTGCATATCTTGTTCCCTCCACTTCGAAAGCTCTTTTTTTCCCTAGCTTCTCCCTCTTCGTTCCCCTCTCCCGGCCTTTAGCACGCTTTGGTATCTGTCGTCCCTTCAGGTCTCAGCTCAGTTTGCCCTATAAGGCTCAGCCCAAGCCCAGCAGCTCCAGGGCCCTTCCACAAATGCCCCGAGCGCCTGGGGGCGCAGCATGACTCTTAGGCCCCAAGACATTTTTGCTTGCGTGGGCCCCTTTCTCCATAAAAGGAAATTAACAATTCTATTTTATGACTACATTGCCATAAAAACAAAAAAGATATAAATCTATGCTACTTTTTTGAAATCAAGCATTAGATCATTCTAATACTTACAGGTGCCTTCAGAACCACTGGAATAATTAATTTATTTATCTGGGTAGTGGGGATTGACCCCTGGGCTTTTCAATTAAATGGTATCATCAGTTCTTTTACTTTTATTTTTTATTTTGAGACAGGGTCTCACCAAATCCTTAAATTGCCCGCACTAGGCTTGAGTGGACGGTTCTCCTGCCTCAGCCTCCCCCTATGCGGGGGTTACAGACATGTTCCACTATGCCCAAGGTTTGTTTGTTTTTTCAAATCTATTTCTGCATTAACACAAGTGCTTTCACACAGTGGGTGCTCAGTACATTTTCAATGAGGAAAGAAAGAAAAGTGTCACTGGCCACTGGCTTTGGAAGGCTGTCATTTTGTCACTATAGGAGAACATATTCTCAAAGACCTCATGAGTCTTAAATATCCGCATACACCTACTTCCTAAAACATTGCCCAGCAGATTGGTCTACAGTGGATGCTGTTAAATGCTTGGTCAGGGGTATAAGAGTTTCATGTGCTCACACTGACATAATGTTTCAATTATACATTAATACTTCATAAATCTCTCCATATTTATTTGAAACCAAGATTTATAATACCAAAGATATAAGAAACCCCAAGACTTCACATAATTTACCTAAAGTTGCCCAGGCTGGGCTTGAGTTTTAATCCTCCTGCCTCAGCCTCCCGACTGCTGGGATTCCAGGCGTCCACCACTATACCTGGAAGTTGCAAATAATTATTTTACTTATTGGCATCAAAGAAAAGAGCAGCGTTCCTGACCGTTTTATAATGCATTGTTATAATAGTTGTATTATATTATAGTTATTATTATTACTCTGTGCCAGGTTTATAAATTAAAACTTATGTCTACATAGGAGGAAACTAGGCCAGTTCCAGGCCCGCCCAGTCTGGGGCTTAGCCTTGCAAAGAAGGCGGGAACAGCGATCATCTATTCCGGTCAATCTGTGAGGGAAAAGGTGAGATCACCTGCGCACGCCTTCCCCACAGGGGCACAGCCTGTGTGGTCTGCAGTCGCCTGGCCTGCGGTGCTCCTCACGAGCACTGGCCCGCCCACCCTCGGCAAGTGTGCAATACAGACAAATCCCAGCCAGGCATGGTGGCTCACACCTGTAATCACAGCCCTGGGAGGCCGAGGCAGGAGGATCCTTGTGAGTTTGAGACCAGCCTGGGCTACAAAGTGAGCTCAAGGCCAGCCTGAACTGCACAGCGAGACCCTGCAATAAATAAATAAAAGACCAATTGTAGCGACCGAAGGCCCCACCGTGGCCCCAGCCCCTCCTTCCCTTCTTGCCGGAACTGCTCTGTAGCCCTCCACCAAGGGGGTGCTGTTACCTCAAAAACAGCGTGTGTGTGGATGGATAGACTGTGCCCTTCGTGTTTCACTTCCTCTTTAGAAGAAGGAAGAGATAAATCACAAGAACAGAGCTGGTATGTAGGATCTGCCTAAAAAAGGAAGCTTCCAGGGAATTGGGTGACCCTTGACTGAATTATGCTTTTTATCTCATCACAAAAGATTCTTTAAATTAAAAATGCAAGTACTGAGGAAGTGTGAGTTCCCCGTGAAAAGTGATTTTTTTTCCCTGCTTGGGATTCAGTTTGTTGATATCCAACACTGTTTTATAAGAAATGGCGTGTTGAGCATGTTACATTATTTATTTAAGGATTGAGTCGGGCATGCGCCCCGTGGCTCATGCCTATAATCCCAGCAGTCAGGAGGCTGAGGCAAGGGAATCTTCGCCAGTTCCAGACAGCCTGGGCTACGAAGTGAGCCCAAGGCCAGCCTGAACTGCAAGGCGAGATCCTGACTCAAATAGCCAAAAAGCAAACTAAAACAAAGCAAAAAATCTTGTGTATTAAAACTAAAGAGAAATATGTTTGTGAATAATAGTATTTTGTGAATAAGTACTTTAACCCATTTAAAACATATAAAAGATTGAACAAAACCTTCATGTGTAACTAACTGGAAAATATAATTAAGCAATGTGTATATTCCCCAGCTGGATCTAAGTCGTTAGTGTACTTCCTTGTGCTTGTTCTTGCTTGTTTGTTTTGCTTGTTCACTGCTGGTTTTGGTTTGGTTTTTGTTGCAGTATTGGGGCTTGAACCCGGGCCTTCCACCGGCCAGAGCTTCAGTCCCGTTATTTTATTTTGAGACACAGTTCTCAATAACTCGCCCAGGCTGACCCCAAATATAGGATCCTCCTGTCTCGGTCTCCCCCGTAGCCAAAATTACAGACTCACAGGAGCACACCCAGGTTCATCGGGGTTCTTAAGACAGAAACTAAGAATCTTTCAGCCGGGGAATAAAATCCTTTCACTTTTAACACTTTTTGATTGTTTTAGAGGCAGTGAAAATCTTTGGAGACGTAGATTTTTTTCAACAGTATCCAGGACTTACTTTTAAATAAATGTCACATTTTCAGCCTACCGACCTGGCTAGTGTGCGTGTGCGCATGCGTGTGCCACAAAGCCACAGAGCTGCTCGCGGGACCCGGGGCAGCCTTCCTGGTGGGAGTGCAGTGCGGGCACAGGTGGGCGCCACGCACCTCCCGCATCCGTGATCGCGATCACCAGCTTCCTGACTCCGCCTCTCCCGACCCCAGCCGGGAGGGGCCGGCACGGGCACGGGGCAGTGGGCGGAGCTGCGAGGCCCGTGCCTCAGTTTCCCCCTGCGCGGAGGAGAGTCCTGCAGCACCTCCCCCGCGGGGCGGCCCCGAAACGCGCGCCTCGCCCGGCTGCGCGCCCCCTCCCTGCGGCGCGGGGCGGACGGGCAGGAGCCCGGCTGTCTTTGCGGTGTCTTGAAAACCAGACTCGGCCCAGGAACCATTTCTGCTCAGTTTTTCAAAAAAGTGCCAGGAAGGCAGAAAAAAACGCTGAGTCTCCTGCCCCGCGCCGGAGGGCGGCCGGGACTATGGGGCGCCGGCCGTGGCCCCCCAGATTTCCTGAGGAGCCCCCCCCCCACACCCGGGATCCCCAACTTTAACCAAGGTTTCCGGTGGATTCCAGGTCAGTGAGTCCTAAACGTCGCCTGGGTTTATACCCTCGTCCGCGTGGGTTAAAGTCCGCCGGGCCGCGGCTGTCCAGTACGAGTGTGGTTTAAAGTCGTGGCCGGCGGACCGTCCCGAAGCACTCAGACGGGCCGGTCGCCACATTTCAGTCGCGTTGACAGCCTCGCTGTAACAGTAAACCCAGCGCTGCACTGCAGAATAAATACCAGGTTGAACTTGTAAGATAAAGCAAGTTTATCAGGCAGCCCTGGGTACTCCTAGCTCGGTGATAACCGCCCACCGGGTGAATTACACCGCGTGAATTACAGAAAAACATGAAGACGGATTTTGAAAAATGTTTTTCCCCAAATGACAAAGAATCCCCAGCTCTTCTTACATCATTGTTAAAAATGTGAAAAATATTCACAAAGGAAATTAAAAATCGCTGGTGATCATTAGGGACATTTTAGTGAACCAGAAAGTTTCTATCTGAACTTTGCTGAGAGACATTTTGGTGATAGCAGAAATATTTCAAGGAGCCAGAGAGGGAGCTGTTTCACGCCAGCCCTGTACTTCCTCTCCGGGCAGGCCAGGAAACGCGAGCTTGGGGAATCTAGGAGCTGAAAAGCACTGGTTTTTTTTTTTTTTTTTTTTGGAAAAGCTGAATCCTGGAAACAGCCCGATGCCCAGCAGCTGCCCAATGGCTGAAGGAGATGTGGGTTTTTACCCCGTGGGGCACTGTTCTGACATAAAGATCTGCTTGAGGCATTTCTAGCTAAATGGGTGCTCCTCAAAAGACCACACTCTCAAGTGAAATAAATCTGACACACGTGTGTAAATACCACACTTTCTCTGGTGTGAGAAACCAAAAGTGTAAATAAGGACCAAAATGCATACCAGATATTGTGAAATAGGAAGAAAATATTCAGGTGGGAAGGGGAACTAGGGAGGGGGAGGGGAAAAGGAAAGGGAGAAAGGAGAAAGAAAAGGCAAAATGGAGACAAAGCTTTTGTAAATAAGGAGGAGGAGAGGTTATGGGGGAGGAGGATGGGGAAAAACACATCCTTACGTCATGTACAGACACACATTCCCTATCAGGCCTGTGATCATTTCGTGTACCTAAAACATACCAATACACTTAATGAATAATCAAAACCAAAAGCACAGGCTTGATGCAAAAGACTTCAAGGCTTGGCACCACAGCACAGGTCTGTAATCCCAGCTACCACGGCTCTCAGGATTGGCAGTCTGAGGCCCTGTCTCAAAAATAAAAAAGAAATAAAAATGAAGAACTAGCTCAGAGCTAGGCTGCCCCTGGGTTCGGGCAGTCACAGAGGGCTTCACAAGGTCTGCAACAGGGACTGGAAGGGAGGGGCGGGGGCTCTGTCATGGATTAACCTGGTGACTTTGGAAAGGTCACACTCTCTTCTGACCGCCCCCCACCACCACGCTGAGTCACTTTAGAGTAAGGTATCTGTAAAATCCTTGTGAGCTGTGGTGCAGATGTCCCTGTAGCATGGAGAGGGGCACATTCCCAGGTTTCCAGGATTGCCCACCTCAGGGTAGCGCGTCCTGTCTGCATCCTTTATCTAGACAGACTTACAGTTGTTTGTAAAGGTGAAATAAACAGCTTTCCAGAAACTCGGGTGGACTACCGTGAGTGAATCCACTGGAAACGCTGTTTTGAAAATAAGGACCTACGGGCCGGGGATTTAGCTCAGCGGCATGAGCGCCTGCCTGGCAGGCACAAGGTTGTGAGTTTGATCCCCGGTACCAAAAAGAAAAAAAGAAAGAACGGACCTAGGGCCACTTCCGCTCTGGGGGGGGCGAAGCCATTCTGGATCAAACCGCCTCGCCCCCATCTCCTGATGGCACAGACCCCGGTCCACGGCCCACTCCGTGATCAACGAGAAAGGGACGGAGGGGCACTGGCTGCTTCCCAGCCGGATGCACGCTCCCCCGGGCCCCATCTCTGGCCAAATTTTGGGAGGCTCGGCTGTGAATAGGCAGCGGCTCCCCCTCGGGGCCACACCCTGCTGCAATTCCCCAGGAAACCTGGAGGGGGGCCAGGGCTGCGGCCCAAAACTGCCAGGGCCAGAGCGAGATCATCCCTGGAGCCCAGAGGTGGCGACGGATCCCTGGGCGCTCAGAGCCCCCACCCGGGCGGCCCAGGGGCGCCCCAGGACCCCCGGCCTGTGCCAGCACGGCGGTGCTGAGCTCCCCGGGTGCAGGCTCCCCGGATTCAGGCCCCAGAACCGGTTGGGTTTTCCGAGGCTGCCTTTGGCACAGGTAGGAAAGGAGGAGGGAAAAAAAGAAAATGGTGTAAGCAAGTTTCGAAACCTTAGATCATTTCATGAATGACTCAGTGTTTCCTTTTGGAAAAGCGCAATAATTGGCTTTCGTGAAGGACGGGGCGCTGGGAAAGGCCTGGGTGCCGAGCGCTCCCGCGCCGTCCCTCCGAAGGCGGCGGCCTCCCGGTTGCTCCCCGCGCGGGGGCTCGGGCCACGCGCGCTCCAGGGCGCGCTGCATGCGAGCTGCGCAGCCTCCTCCGCGCGTTTCCTGTGCTTTCTGAGAAGAGCAGAGACCCGCTTTCTCTTTCTGTTCTTTTTTTTTCTCCTTGATTGATTTTTTTTTTCTGTTCTTTTTTTTCCATTTAAAACTATTCAACCTGCAAAGCTATTACCCTTCTTTAAAAAAAAAAAAAAACGCATTCCGCTGACCCTGTCATTTATTTCTTCACGAAAGGCTCACGTTACACAGTGCATTACTGGGATGTGCGAAATCCATGACTTTTATTTAGATCTCTGTCATTCCTTTCAGTTTTATTTTTGCTATGCAGTGCTGGGGCGAGAACCCAGGGCTTTCCTGCAAAGCAGGCAAGCCCACGACCCTCGTTTGTTTGTTTATTTATTTATTTTTGGTCTTTTTGAGACAGAATCTCACTATGCAGTTCAGGCTGGCCTTGAGCTCGCTTGGTAGCCTAGGCTGCTCTCGAACTCGCAATGACCCTCCTGCCTCAGCCTCCCCAAATGCTGTGATTACAGGCATGCGCCACCACGCCTGGCTTCACAGCCCTGATTTTATTTCAAGTTTTCAGCCAAACTCGGCACACCGCACTGAGGTTTTAACACCGAAGACGTCGTCCTTTCCACATGACTGCAGCAACGCGCAGGAGTCTCCACCGGCCCCTTAGTGGGGCCAGTGGCTCTAAGGTGCAAGGTCCACAAACAGAGTTTACTCGGACGGACGCAGGGCCACTCTAATTTCATAAATGAACTTGCGAATGTTACTGCACAATCTATCTGCATACAGGCTTATCTTGTTTTTAAAACAGAAGTGATGGTGGTGTTGGTTCCTCCACGTTTTCAGAAGGAGTCCCCCAAGAGCAGTCTCCAGGGGAGGCGCAACAGCTGGCGAGCCCGGAAGGGCGGAGCGCGAATAATCCGCACTGTCCCTGGGGAGCATATCTGCACTTGGGCAGCGTTGCATCCTAGGAATTAAAACCAGAGTTCCTGGTCATGATTTTTGAAGAGTCAAATGTGTGTATGTCCCGGCCGCCGCCCCCCCCCCCCCCCGTTTTCGATCTTTGACTATACTGTATTTGTGTTGGGTCCCGGAAGGACACGTATCTGGCGCAGCTGCACATCCACACAGGGTAGAGATGGGTCATGACGAACCCGGCGCGCGCACTCCATGCTGACCCTGGGAGAGAATGGGTTTAGATGCATTCATTCCGAAAACACCCAAGTCAATCACGAGTGTGGTAAAGGCGAGGACCATGTGAAATGGCTCTCAGACCCTTTCCAGGGACCCCACTTCCACCCCGGGCTATCCTGGGAGACGCTGGCGGTATCCTCCTGCTCTTTAATTTTTTTTTTAAAAACCAGCTATGGTGGTACACGCCTGTAATAACAGCATTTGGGAAGCTGAGGCAGGAGGATCATTTTGAGTTCAAGACCAACCTGATCTGCATAGTGACACCCTGTCTCAAAAAGACCAAAACAATTATTTTTTACTAGTATGTGTTTGTGATGCATAATGAGCACATTCAGTGTGAGGAATTGGTGCCCCTTCCGGTCCCCTACCTGCCCTCTCTACCCCTGGATCCTTCCCACCTGTAAAAGGCCTGCTTTACCTCCGTTTCTAGTGTCATCATCTTCTGCCGCAGCCTCCCCAGTGGTGGGACTGCAGGTGTGCTGCTGCTGCTGCTTCCTCCTCCTCCTCCTCTTCTTCTTCTCCTTTTTTGTCTTTCTGAGATAGAGTTTCACTGTGTAGTCCAGGCTGGCCTCAAACTCAAATCCTCCTGCCTCAGCCTCCCGAGTGCTGAGATTACGGACGTGGGCCACCATGCCCTGCTCTAGTATGTATCTTTTATTTTTTTCTTTAAATTATTTATACTTTGGTTTTCTCACAGGAGAGAAACCGTTAATACTTAACCTTCTATGTGTGATTTATTTCGCTCAGCCTTATGGTCTCAGGCATCTGCTTTCCTATGAATGATTCAGATGTATCATTCTCTATGGCTGAGTGTCTTCCACCGTGTGTCATGGTTGGAATTCCAGCAGTCAGACCTTCAGCTCCCCCTCCCAGGAGCTGACTCACCATCCTCCAGGTCTGCCACTTGCAGAGGAGTGCAAAGTGCTTGGAGTATGCTCCACAAAGAAGCAGGTCATGGTGGAGTACGCCTGCAATCCCAGTACTCTGGGAGGCTGAGGCAAGAGGATCTCCAATTAAAACCCGGTCTGAGCAATTTATTGACTTAGCAAAACCCTGTAAAGGTGGATTCTGAAGTGGGAAGTGAGATGATGCAGACGGAAGAAGAAAGAGAGATGCTACGTCTCTTTGGTCAGGAGTTGGTCCCAGGCAGCATCCTGAGGACAGATGCATCATGGTCCCTGAAACAGACTGTGTTTTTATGAAGTTAGAACAAGATGCTGGCTGCACAAGGTGGTGCTCCAGGAGGCTGAGGCGGAAGGGTGCAAGCTCAAGCCCAGCCTGGGCCATTTAGCAAGGTCCTGTCTCAAATAAAACCAAGCTGGGGATGTAGCCCAGGCCTCCGGTTCAGCCCCTAGCACCGGTGTAAAGCAGCCGAATAGCTGGGCAGCCTGGTTTTGCATTTCAGTGTGATGGCTCCTTTGTGGTCCTTATTCCCGAATGATGGACTCGGAGGCATTTTGAGATAAAGGGGAAGAAAAAAGTTTCATTTACTGGTTAGGGCTTCAATTCAGCTACCAACAAAAATTTTCTCCCCTCCCAACTTTCCAGAAATCTGTACTATTGTGCCCAAGAAAGAAAAGTTGGGGAGCCAGCACTTACATTTGATAAAATTTTGTAAGACAGAAGAAAATAAAGCACGCTTCTAAGAAGCTTATATTGCTATTGTTGTTTATTTGGTGGTGCTGGGGATCTTTTTTGTGTGTTTGTTTTGAGACAGGATCTTGCTTTGTAGCCCAGACTGGTCTCCAGCATGCAGTGATCCTCCTGCCTCAGCCTCCGGAGTGCTAGATTACAAGCATGCGCCACCATAGCTGACTGGGGCTGGGGACTGAACATGAATTCTCTCACGTTCTACCAAAACAAGTGCTCTACCACCTTCCGGGTCCCTGGCTCCTATTGGTGTCATTTTTAATACCTGAAAAAAATAATTAAAATCTATAAACAAAATAGAAACAGTATTTACTGTGTGTTTTGTGCTGCATTCATGGGTGTTCTCTGCAGCTTCTAATTTTCTGCCATGGCTAGGCTCTCTAATTATCAGAGCAAAAAAGTTGTTTTTAAGAACTGTACATCACAAACGAGGCGTGGCAGCTCATGCCTGTGATTCCAGTACTGGGGAGGCTGAGGCAGGAGTCTGAGACCAGCCTGGGCTGCAAAGGGAGCTCAAGGCCAGCCTGAACTGCATAGCGAGACCCTGTCTCAAAAAAACAAAACAACCCTCTCCCCTGGCAAAAACAACAACAAAAAAAGTATAGCTCACTTATTGGAGTATGTATCCTCTGATCTTTTCGAGCTAACTGTAAAATTGGAGCATTTTCATATCTGGAAGAGGGTAGACACACGGAGTAACCAAGAGGCTCTTCTAGCGTACCCTTGAGTGACTCCTAATAATTCTGATTTATCTATTGCACTCTCTACCACATTCAATTTACATTCGTTCAGCACATTTAGGTTTAACTATCAAAATCATTCAAGCACCAGTACTGAAAAAAATTTTTTTTATTTGTCAGATTATTACCTATTTGTCAATCTCTCTAGCATTTTCTTATTCTCTTAATCTTAGGAACTATGGAACTAAGTGCATGGGACAGAAAATGTAAAATGTTTTCAAATACTTAAGAATTCAAGGGCCACTAGACAGATTTTAAAAACAAACAAACAAACCAGTCCTCAGCTTTTAAAAACAGCTACAAGGTGAAGAATCAGAAAACCATTTCTGCTCCCTTCCCAAAAAGGAGCATGCATATTTATTTTGCATTCCTGCTTAAAGAACCACCGTTATCACCAAACATAGCTATACTGAGGACAGCCCTGTAAACGGCCGGCCTATGACTAAGGAAATAATCCTGCAGCTGTGATGATGCAGAGATAGGCGCAGGGTATCAGCCGCGCCAGGAGCTCGCAGCCCGCTATCTCGAAGCCCCGGCAGCCGCAGCCAGGCTCGTGGCGAGGGGGCAGCCTTGAACCCAAACCAGGACAAGTTTGCCAAGGTGATTTCAGGCCCATGAGCCACTAACCCCGACCTGGATTTGGTGTAAACGCAACACGCCCGAATCGCAGTCCTGGGGCGGCGCTGCCCTGTATGAGTCCTACACCACAGAAGCGTTGTTACTCTTTGTGGGTACAGTGCTGAGGATCGCAGGTTAAATTTGTAGTTCCCCGCGTGCATTCCGAGCATCTTCTTGCAGACCTCAAAAATGAAGCTAGGCATAAGAATTTTGATAATTTGAGAAAATTAAGAGGACAAATTGTTTTCCAATGTGCAGAAATGGAAGGAAATGAAACTTGGGAGTGAATCTGGATATCGACTTGTTCATGATCTAAATACTGTCTGTGGCTGGGCATGGTGTCCCCTCCTGTAATCCCAGCACTCGGGAGGCCGAGGCAGGAGGATCACTTTGAGTTTGAGGCCTCTCTGGCTACGAAGTGAATTCAAGGCCAGCCTTGATTGCAGAGTAAGCCCTGTCTCAAAAAACGCAACAAAACGCTCATTCATACACGAGTAATGTCGCCTATTAGTAAAACCAGCTTTATTCCAATCTTGATTTCTTTGAAGTTAAAAGAAAATTTATCGGGGCTGGGGATTTAGCTCAGCGGCATAAGCGTCGGCCTTGCAAGCAGGCAGTCGTGAGTTCGATCCCTGGTACCGATAAAAATGAGAGAAAAAAAGAGAATTTATCTCCTGTTAAGGATTATATTTTACACTGCTATTATTTTTATGAATTTTTAAATTTTTATTTTTTATTGTTGGTTTTTCTTTTTCTTTTTTTTTTTTTAATGGGGAAGCAGGTCACAGAGCAAGCAGGCATACTTAAAGAACAGTGACTTTTATTTATTTCTTTTTTATCTTATTAGTTACCAGGGGTCGAACTCACTACCTCCTGCTTGCCAGGCAGGTACTTATGCCACTGGGCCGAATGTCTGGCTGTTTTTTCTTTTTTAAAAAATTATTTTTGATGTTGGGTTTCAATCCAAGGCCTACAGTAGGTATGCTAGGCAATTATTCAACCACGCAGCAATGCTTCAGCTCTTGAAGAGATTATTTTAAGGAAAAACAACTCCGTGAAACACCACAGTCTCTCTAAAGATAACGTTTTAGTTTGCCAGCATGGAGACACTCACCAGTAATCTCAGCTACGCAGGAGGAGAAGGGCAAGTTCTAGCCAGCCTGGGCAGCGTGCTGAGACGCTGTCTCAACGCAGAATAAGAAGGGAGAGACGCAGCGTACTGTGCCCCGAGTCTATCCTCACTACCACCAAAATAAAACATTTAAAAGCCTTAACTTTTTGAGACAGAGATTTACTACATAGCCTAGGTTGCCTTGAATTTGTGGGGATCCTTTTGCTGATATTACAGACATGTTCCCCCACACCGGGGTGGGGACGTGTTAATGAGACATCTTTCATGAATTATCATACTGGATTGTGTGTGTGTAGTTTTTCTTTCCTTTCTTTCCTTTTTCTTTTTCTTTCTTTCTTTCTTTCTTTTCTTTTTTTTTTTTTTTTTGAGAAGGATCTTGCTACATAGTTCAGGCTGGCCTTGAGCTCACTATGTAATTTGGGCTGGCCTCCAAATTGCAGTGATCCTCCTGCCTCAGCCTCCCATGTGATGAGATTACAGGCATGCACCACCATGCCCAGATTATAAGGCAGGTGCAAGGATACAGAGACAGAGGTGGAGACAAACTATTATTTCTGCGTGACCTAAGAATATAAAAAACCCCCATGTTTACACACACACACACACACACACACACACACGCACATATTTTTTCTTTTTTAAAATAGGGTCTCACTATGTAGCCCGGGCTGGCCTTGAACATGCAGCAATCCACCTACCTCAGCCTTTCATGTGCTTGCCCAGGCTGACCTTGAACTCATTTTTCTCCTTATTCTCCTGAGTACCCAGGTTTCCAGGTGTGCACACAAACGTACTTTTATCTTTTCTTTTGAGACAGGATCTCTTTAATTCAGGCTGATGTTAAAATCACTATGTATCCCAGGCTAGAGATCCCCCTGTCTCAGCCTCCCAAGTGCCAGAATGACAGCTGATACTATGCCCAGCTTCAACTATAGTTTTTAAAATTATTACTATCATGTATTGTTACAAATAATTCCTAATTTTCTTTCTTTCTTTCTTTCTTTTTTTTTTTTTGTCTTTTTCATTTTTATCAGTACCAGAGATCGAACTCACGACCGCCTGCTTGCAAGGCAGGTGCTTACGCCGCTGAGCTAAATCCCCAGCCCCTAATTCCTAATTTTCTAAGGTCAAAAGAGTGGCTTCTTATTCTCGGTATCAAAGGTTACTCAGCCCCACTAAAAAGCCCCTGACAGTTTTCAAATGGCAGAGATAAATTCCTTAGTGCATCTTCTCCTCTCTGCTTCCTCTTAGACCATTATGGCAGGCTTGCTACTGAGAAGCTCTGCTTTCTCTTGGAGATTTAAGGCCATAGATTTTTTTTGATTGATTGACTTTTATCTTTGTCTTTTTGAGACAGGGTCTCACTATGCAGTTCAGGGTGGTCTTGAGCTCACTTTGTGGCCCAGGCTAGTCTTGAACTCTCAATGATCCTCCTGCCTCAGCCTCCCGAGTGCTGGAATTACAGGGATGAGCCACCATACCCAGTTCAAGGATTTTGTTTGATGATGGCGTTGAACACAGGAGTTTTACATGGAGTTGTATCTCAGCCCTTCTGTAATTTTTTTATTTTGATTCAGGGTCTCACTAAATTGTTAAATTGCTAGGGCTGGGCTCAGAACTGCTATCCTCCTGTCCAAGTGATGGGATTTCAGCCATGTGCCACCAGCGTGCCCTGCCATACCTGGCTAAGTCTTGGAGTTTTAATCTTCTACTCCTACTCTTTCTTCTTTGTCTATGGACTTTTACATATTTATTCTCATTCTCTCCCTCTGTCTGTCTCTATCTCTCTCTCTGTTTTTTTTAGTGTTTCCTTTTTTGAATACAGGCTGGCCTTGAATTCAAGGCAATACTCCTGCCTCAGCCTCCTTAGTCTGGGGATAACAGGCATGTTCCACCATGCCTGGCTATACTCTTGTTTACAGTGCAGGTACTTAATTAAAAGCTAAATAATCCTGTACTCCTATAATCCCAGCACACTGAGAAGCTGGGACAGAAGGATTGCAAGTTCAAGGCCAGCCTAGGCAACTCAGCAACTCAGCGGTCCCATCTCAAAATAAAAATTAAAAAATGGTCTGCGGGTGTAGCTCTAGTGGGAAGCCCCTGGGTTCAACCTCCAGTGCTTCCGAAAAATAAAATAACACAAGCGAAATAAAACAAGAAGCCTAGAGGCAGAGCCTAGGGTGTGACATGTTCAAAGCCCTGACTCGGTCTCCAGCACTGCAAAATAAATAATTGTTAATAATAATAAATAATAGTTAAATAAATACATACTTAGCTAGCCAGACATGGGGCACACACCCACAATCCCAGCACTTTGGGCAGCCCAGGCAGGAGAGAGTTAAAAGAGGCAAAAAGGGATAATCCATAGGAAAACCGATTTGGAGACACTCAACATGTAAACTATTTCTTCCAAATAGTTTACCCAAAAATAGTCTGTCAAAGTTGTCAATCTTCCATTGAGGGTTTTTCTTCATTTCTTTGAAGCTGCTGCAATTCAGAGTAAATATCTGTTACCATGGTTAACGCCAATATTTACGAGGAGAAAACATGTTTCCCGAGAACTGGAAACCTAACACTGGTACGCCTGGTGCCAGTTCTGCCAGGGAGCACAAGTTCTAACCTTAACTTCAGTAACGGGCACCAGGAGCAGACACTCTGGGCTCAGCCCTTGGAATGCTCTGCCCGGGCATCCTGACCAAGGGAGCTGTGTCTCCGGGCCGGGGCGCACAGGTCCACTCCGCCTCACCTGGGATGGCAGAGCCCACCAGAAGCACCATGGCACCTCCATCCTGGACAGTCAGGATGCTGGGCCA